GTTGCCTGAAGCCCAACACTCACTCACATAGACTTCCAGGTATTCCCATACATACACAGAAGGAAGGGGAGAGGATAGGAGTATCACACCACACAGGGAGAGATAACACAGCGGAAGACTTGACCATGAGATATGATAGGGTACACTCAAAGTGCAATTCACTCCACTCAATCCTCACAACCAGATATAGAGAAAAGCCGACAAATCACATCCAGGAAACAATGAAACGATGATAGTCCAAACCCAACTACACACTGTTTATCAAAATCAGAGTCTCGAATTGTCAGGATCACTTCAGAACTACAGTGCGCTGCTAAAAAATGAGCAGCGCTTCACTCCTCAACCCTGAATAGCACCCGTAACACCCCTTGAGTCCCTGAAACATCAAGCGCCACCCAATACAGCCACCTGAGGGAAGTGCAACCCTGAAACAGGCCCCTGAGGCCAAGCGCCACTCAGAGGATGAAGAAGAAGACCAGCGCCGCAATATCTGATGATGACGAAGTGTCGGAAGACTTCCCAGGTGGAAGTCTGCAGCAGCGCCACCAAACCCTGACAAGATGACCTGTGAGGAAGAAGCTGCAGCTATGGCTGCAGCGCCACCACCCTGGAACCTCACTCCGGAGGAGGGTCCAGCAGGGCACCAATCTCTCTCGCCTCCAGCAGACCTTGATAGCCCAGACCTCTGTCAGCCCCTGCGTGCTGGCAGAGTACAGTGCAGGTCCCAGCTATCGCCGGCGCTCCGAAGGTCTGGTTATGCCTGTCTCCTTGAGCCGTCACCAGAGCCGTCACCAGTTCTGGTTCACGCATAGCGCAGCAGCGATGTACTCGGTACCAACTGCCAAAAGCCCTGAACCGATGTGCCCATTCTATCTATAGACTAACCTAGCCTAGACTCGACCTAGACCGGACTGACTGACCGACCGGTACCAAAAGCCCTGAACCGATGTGCCCATTCTATCTATAGACTAACCTAGCCTAGACTCGACCTAGACCGGACTGACTGACCGACCGGTACCGTTTCTGTTTCGGCCTCTACCGGACCCGGCTTATAGGCTATAGGACCGTCTATCAGAATAGGCCCTTAGGGCCTGTCTGTCCTAGGGGTAGCCTGGGCCTGCTATTCGCAGTTAGGGTAGCGGTAGGGAATTATGTTAGTACCGGGCCTACATGTTTTCCCGAATTTGAAGATATGTCCCTCAGGAATTTCCGAATCATGTGCCTTGGATGGAAGTGCTCGGGGCTGGCAGGCTTCAGGTGGCTCTACATACAGAGGTCACAACCTCAGAGGGTACGGAGACATGGTAGAAAGCACAAGAGACAGACAACCAAATGAGAGAGTGAGAGAGATGTTCATAGTGATGAGTGAGGACTCTTGACAGGTGCTAGCCATGCTCTCTATATGTGTACTTTCTGAGACTATTACGAGTTTTCATTCTTCCCTCACTTAACTTTGTCTTTGCTCGAGTCAGTCAAGTCTTTTCGCTGATGATTGCATTTTTCTGATGATTATGTCACAATTCTCAAAATTAGCAAGGCAAAATTGATGCATGCATGATACATCAGGACTTTATGATTATTATTTGCATGATTTCTTTGCTGTTCCGAATCAAAATAAAAGATTTCTAAGATCGGGGACCGGCGAAGACCGCAATTGAAGGGTCTCGCTCGAAGTCGGACGCACACAACAGGAAGGGATTTGCTTCATTTAATTTATTTTATTTATTGCAAATAACATACAAAATCCTGCGTGACAACCTGTTGGCTTTCTGGTCGCCTGAAGAGGCTCGACTACAAAAAGTGCGACAACGTGCGGAATTTTGCGCACGACGTGCGCTTGCATGTGTGATCCAAATTGGTACCAGTGCAAGTATGCTCTCAGTCATAGGCAGGGAACAACTGGAGTGAAATCAGGCAGCTCAGCCCAGATATGACAACAAACATTAACACATCCACCGCAGACCTGGACCAGAATGGTAGAAGAGAGAGCCAGACTCAGAGACAAGCATCACATCATGAAAGCATCTTGCACACACATGAACCCTAGCGGACATTCATCGTGCCAGAATTGACTGTGGACATAGCATCAGGCCTGAGCTGACATTCCAGCGGAGCCTGGACAAAGCATAAGAACAGAGTATGCCACCAGAGCCGTAACAGACGATTCGACACGGACTTCCCAGCAGAGCCCGCGCTAAGTCTCAGACCACCGAAGGACAAATGAACTAAGACGCTATGCCGGGAACCAATACAAGCAGATTCCGCCTGATGGAAGCACACTGCAGATGTCGTGGAGACTACCACCCAAATAGAACGCCTGGTAATTATGGCTGTATCTGGACTGAAAGCTGCATCAAATACAGCTATAATGACCGGACCTTCTATTCGGGTGAAGACGGTAGCTACTGGATTGGCAGGTCAGATTCGTCCCGGTTGATGCTGGGCTTCAAATGATAAATGAACTAGATAAAAGAATGGAGAAGAGATCTGCACAGCTTCCACCCTACAGCTAGGACCTGAGGTTTCAAATTTTCGGTATATCCCTTGGTGCCGCGCCTTCAATGAAAGTCAGTGGTTATTCATGCTAGCAGAGATCTTGTGCAGATCATTTTTAGATGGGGACAGACATCAGGTTTGCTTTCGTAATTCCTTCGGGACATCCGTTAAAATTTGAACGATACAGAGAAAGAAGATTAGCGTGGCCCCTGCGCAAGGATGACATGCATGAATCTGAAACGGTATTCACCAGTTCGCAGTAGCTGATGCAGATCCCAGGGCTCTAGCCCCCACCTTACCTGTGTACAGTATCTGTGTCGACCCCTAGAGTTGAACCTGCGACCTGTGTATTTGTAACAGTTGGTAGGTTGTCGTAGGGTCCATAGGTAGCAGGGCTTCGATCTGTAGACCTGTCGGGTAGGAGTCTCAGTCAGGTCTAGAAGTCATAGCTGTAGCTTTCTCGAAGAGTCAAGGTTGTAGCTGCTACAGTCCAGAAGGGTCAAGGTCGTAGCTGCTACAGTAACAAAAGGCCAAGTCTACGGCCTTCCGGAAGGTCCCAGTAGTGGCCTTTCGAAGTTGCCCACGTTTAGACTGAGGCAAGGGAGCAAGTGGTGAGGCAAGTGGGCAAGTGGTGGAGTCTACCCGTGCTGAGTCAACAGTCCCAGTCTCCAGTCAGTCCTGGTCCAGTCAAGCAAGTACCGCATGGGACTGTGTGCACTACGGGCATGGGAAAGGGCCAGACCAATGAGCTGCAGAAGTATAAATCAAGAGGCAGCGCCCAGTCATTCATTCATTCCTGCGTGAGCCATGAGGAAGCGCTGCCATAAGCGACTTGTGCAAGGAGGTCTGCAGTGAGCACGAGGACGAAGTGGGCGAGAGAGAAGGAGTGTAGCCATAGCGATAGGGTAGTAGCGGCCATAGCCGCCATAGCTGTAGTAGAGTTCTGTGTGTGTATGTGTTCAGAGTATCGCGTGTGGGATATCCAGGGTGATCCTGTGTATGCGAACAGAGAGTTGTGTGGGCGCTGAGTTGCCATAGCCATCGAAGTGAACTTGAATCTGAACTGTGTTCTCGGTTACCATATCTCTGAGTTCTGAGTGGGCGCTTGTCACCAGTTTGCTGCGCACCTGTTTGCATGCATGAGAAGTGTGAATGAGAGTGAGTCTGATTGCAAATCGAGAAATGGTCCCAAAAAAAAAAAAAAAAAAAAAAAAAAAAAAACAAAGGTTTACTTTCGTGAGCCCTGTGGCAAAAGGGATCTCAACCCTCAACCTTAGCTTAAGTCCACCTGAGCTAAATTTTTTTTTTTTTTTTTTTTTTTTGGCTGTTTGTCTAAAGATGGGCCAGCCTTGGGCCGACCATGCTTCACAATACACCAAAGTACCAAAAATGCCATTTCAGGTTCAAACTTCAGTCCGAGTCTGCCGTCAGGAATGGCCAATTTCTCTCCGTAGTCGCAGACCGCAGCTGCATCCTCCACTCATTTGCAGACTTGGGCCCGAACTACCGAGGATCCAGAAACTGCATCCTCAGCCAAGCTAGGTCTCTCACTCAAGGCCTGAGGCTGCAGCACACCAGCAACAGTATGTTCATCTCAAGACTCAGGCTAGGTTCACTGCATTTTGAAACTAGTACTCAACTGAACTTTGAACTCAAACTTGAGTCGCAGCTTGCAAACTGGTAGCTTTGGTGCTCGTTGGGAGACTCAGGATGAGTCTGATCAAAGTTTCCTTCCTGAAAGATTCTCTGTTTCTGCAGAGCGCCATGTTGGGCACCTGCTTGCAGGCTCAGGCTGATCATGGCCCGTCCTTACATATCTTGAAAGGTTTAAACTTATGAATCATAGAACTGAATCAGCTACTGCAGTTTGGCATGCAAGTTCGCACCCAGCATGTTCAGGTCTTGTCAAAGCACAGGCAATCCTCCAAAGTTTGCACTGCAATGATACAGCCTCCCCATAGGAAAAGGCGGGGGGGCACACACACACACACACACAC